CAATTCTAAAAGGAGATGAACTGATTGCCAATTTTTGCTGAATAATAATAGATAATGGACACGTTGCTCATCATAGTATGATTCATCAACTTAGCTCATAGCTGTGCATCTTCAGAACATGAACATTTTTGAAACTTATACTGCATTTGATAGTGCTCAAATTCCAATGATTCCCAAACTAACAATGAAGGGGCTTTTTTGACCATCCTCCTACTGAAGACCACATCAAAGAGAGTAAAGTCTTCAAGCCAGCATCTTCCTATTCAGCATTAAGCAACCAAATGTTAGGACTAAGCTAGTCATCACAGTTTCCCTTTAGAGTTATTAGGGAAACATAAGCACCTTCAGAAGAGAATTCATCTGACTTAATTGAACAATTCTCTTCAATACTAAAAAGACAGCCAAGAGCTTAGGCTTGTCATCTCACTCTAGAGAGTCTTAACCCAAGAAAAGTCCAGTAAGTTCCATTCCACATATTTTAACCACAACTTAGTACTTAGCATTAAACTATGCCTCATTCCACAAGCAGTTCTAACAAATCAAATTGAAAGCTGAAGGACAAGGCACTACTTCATTAGTGTGCATTCAAAGCTGTACCAGAGGAGGTTTCGAGTGGATGTTAGGAAGCTTTTTTTTTACTGAGAGAATGGTCAAACACTGGAACAGGATCCTTAGGTGGTCGATGCCCCAAGCCTGTCAATATTTAAGGGCCATCTGGACAGTGCATTTATTAACATGCTTTAATTTGGTCAGCCCTAAATTAGTCAGGCAGTTGGACTAGATGATCACTGTAGGTCCCTTCCAACTGAAACAGTCCATTCTATTCTATTACACATGAAAAATATCAAAGTATATTTCTCTGCTTCTTCATAAAATATCAGCCCAGGGACATGTCCCCACTCCTGGACACAAGTGCACACTTCTTCAGTCATGTTGCAGCTCCAGGATCTCAAGATGAGACCCAGGATATGCCACTTTACTTGTGTTCCTGTGCTCTAGTTTCTGCAGGAAAGACACACAGGTTCATGGGCTGACCAGAAGCCAAAGCTAGTCCCAGGGTAGATGCTTGGGGAATGGGGACCCCAGGAGGCATTGCAGCATGCACCTTCATACAGGTTACAAGCAGCTTCTGGTGCTCTTATTTAAAGTCAGCCTCTACTACAAAGATAACAGGCAGTGTCCTGTTCTTAAAAATACAAGTAAAGCTTGGATATGGATCTGCCATTGAAAAACCCCTATCCAGAGACCTCTGGTGTGGAATACACCCCATAACTGAGAAAAATATGGAATTCTTTCTCCTCAGCTCTTATGTGACTGCAAAATGCTTTCCAGTGTTTGTAAAGGACTCCTTTGTTTAATATAAACTCATAGCATTCTTTTAATGTCATTTCCAATTTTGTACATAATACTGTTATATTTTGTATTTTTCAACTGATGGGAAAATTCTTTAAACAGAAATATTCCTTATTTTGCAACAAGGAAAGGAAACACAACTAAGAGAGTTTTTTTAATTAAAATAATTATATTCAAAAGGATGTTAAGAAGAAAGAAAGTAAAAAAAAATTCTTCAGATTTTCCCCCCTTTTTTAACACTTTTGTCATCATTTAAAGAGCGCAACGTGACAAAATTTTTGTGTTTATTTATCGAAACATTGAGACTAGACATTTAGAAAAAAATTCAATTGCTTCCTCTCACAACAGTTTCTCAATCTGAAGGAGAATGCCACAATATGCCTACTAAATCTCAGCTATGCACTTAATTTTTTCATAATTCTCCTAATGTGTTCCTGAACATCCTCTTTTGTTGTGGTATAATGCTCAGGAACACAAACACTCATTTCTTTATATGAAGTAAAAAAAAATACTGTTTTAGCTAAATTGTCATTGCCCTTTCTCCCCTCTCCCTCATACAGGCTACACAGACCCAAAATAGTCAATTGTAAATCAGCCTGTTAACTCAGCAATCAGCTTATTCATACACACTTCCCCCACCCTGTATTCATTACTTTTCCATGGGTAACTTAATGTCAACTTTCTCCCACTAATATGTAGACAAATTAGGAAAAACAGTTTAATCTTGCCATAATACCTGTTTTTGCATTCTGAAGGTAAATAATTTCCACCTGACTTTTCTTAACATTTGAAGTACCATAACATTCATGCTATTTCTAATCCATTATTCGTGTATTACCTTATTAGACCCCCATATCTGAACAAAACGTAAAACCAAAAATAGACCACATTTTTAAAATTCAATTCATTTTGTCCTATTAGTCACTTGGCCTTTTTGCTTAGTGACTGATATCGTAAGTATTAAGAAGTTGGTAGCATTATTATTCACAACAGTGTGATTAAATGTGCTAACAGATGTGGACAAGCAAAATACCTCCTTCCTCCCACTGTTTTTATCTCTAACATCATGTTTAACTATTAACAGCTTGAGATGGGGAAATGTAGGTGTTACTTTTGAACCTGGTACCCTGTAGAAGACAAGATAGTACTTCAGCAGTTAATTGGGCTCCTTTTTCTGCACATGAAGGAGGCAAACTTACAGAAAATGTTTGGAGGTGAATACAGAGTTTCTGAGGCCTTTTAGGAAAGCCTTCACAAGGCTTTTCTGCAATACACTTAAATCATCCAAGATGTTCAGTTCCCTTTGTTTCTTTATGCTTTTACATTATACATTATACATGATAATAGCATATGGGTTATTTCATTTGACAATCAGAAACTTATTATCCATGACTTCTTAATACTGGCTCCCTGTACAGTTCTTTTTATTTTTCTCAAAAAATAGGGGGTTTGGAATCACAGAGCACTTCAGAATTTTTTCTTTTGTTTATAGAGTCTTTGGGGAGCAGAAAGAGGAGCTACAAAAATATTGTATTCACTATGTATTAGGGAAAAGTACTTGCTTTTTGATAATAAGCTACTCTCTTAACACAAAGAATCACTCACATTTCCAATAGCAATATGTATTTTCCTGGCTATCAGAATGACGTCTGTTAAAATCTCATCTCCCTACATCCAGAAAGAGAGAGACTTTCATTCACCTGCTACCTGGCTTTAGTCAGAAATTTGAATTCAAGTTTGCTATTGTCTCAAAACAGCTTTGCAGCTGTGTGGGAAATGAAGGAAAAAGGGGACAACATACAGTATCTGGTCAAACTAGAGGGCAGAACAAATAGTGAGAGATTTAAGGGGATTAGTATTTTACTTTCAGTGGTGGTAAGTCTGCAGGCAGGTTATGGTAGCCACTGTATGAATCAGTGTGTACGATGGCAAATAGAGAAAAGAACTGGCTTTTTCACAGCATCACTTCTGAAGTGGTATGAAACGAGTCCCGAGGATTGCCACCATCCATGTATGACAAGAGAAATCCAACTCCTGGAGAGTCAGATCTACGAGTCTTCAACAGAGGCATAAGCTCTTAAGGACAAGAGCCTTGGGCTTCTATAGATTCCTAACAGTGGACAGAACTTCATAACCTTGACCAATGCAGAAAAACCTATCTTCTGACAAAATGTTAGGAAGAAATCTCCCCAAGGTGATTCTAACTGATATCTCCCCCTTTTTTGACCCACATTTTTACTTACTGCTTGTTAAACACAAGAAATATAAAATGGCAATGCATTCTTTAACACTAATAGTGCCATGTAGCAGTAGCCAGGACAAATTTCAAAACAGAGACACGCATTTATATTTTTCTATTTATATTACTACTATTAATTCTACCTAGTTCCTTTCGGTTATATTATACATGCATACACATTTTACATGCATATAATAAGATTTGCATTAGAATGTACAAAGTTAAACATGGGCAGCATTCAAGCAAGGTTAGCTTCAGAAAAAAACACATTTGAAAGAGGATTGAGGAGTGGAATTGTATATCAAACATTCAGGAAGTATCCTTCCTTCAAAGAATGTCAAAATGTTTTAAAGACTGAAACTGATACAGAAACTGAAACATGTAGAGCTCTCCGTGGAACAGAGAGAATGTGATTCAGTCAGTGCACACTACATTTCACTACAACCAAGGTGTACCAGAAATTTAGTGCCTACACAAGGAAAATTTCAATCAGATGACATGGACAATCAAACACCCGCATAGAGTGAACACCACACTAGCAAATTATGGCCTGACACTATAAAAAATTACTAAATACTTAGAAGCAAAACCAGTCACCAGTATGTGTGGTGGGGTGTAGGAATTAAGGTGTTTATGCTTACACACAGGCATATGCACCTTCAGAGTGCATTTTAATCTGTTTTATGCTGAGGAATAACTGTTTTGACCCTATAAGGATACAACACTGTAGTTTTAGGAAGTTTGAGTGCTTAGTGCTTATCCGAAGAATTTGTTATTCTTCTGTTTCTCTTATCCACTAAAAAGCAGAGATGAAAGCATGTTTAATTTGTTTTCAGGCATTGTATATGATGAATATTAGATGTAATTCTGTTAATGTAATTTTGAACCAATATAAAAAGGTGTCAAATGGAGAAAAGAAATTCACTGAAACTCTGTCAAAATTTTTTAGTAAATCCCAGTCATACAAGACATAAAAATCCAGAATATCACACTCATACTCAGCAGTTTCTATGTAGAAACACGGTAATTCCATGTTACTGGCAAAAATGCATTTGTTTGCTATCCTGTGAATAAAAAGCTCAGCAAGATATATAGACTTTGTGCAACTGGATTCAGAGAGGAACATGTATCAGATTATAATACATTTGATCACTACTGGCAATTGAAAAGGGGATCAACTCTACTATCTCCACTGCTTACCTGAGAAGGTCTGGCACACTGCTTACCATGTTCAAGTAATTGCAAAGTACGCTGAGAAACGTGTGCAGGACAAGGAAGTCCAATCTCAGTATGACTCTTCCCACATTTCTTTAGTCTTCTCAACACATCTTCTATCTGCACCCAATTTCCTGTGTACTTTTGGTTTTTTTAACTTGTTGGTAACATGTCAGGTTGGTATCATACCTACCCTAGTTGTTTTCACTTTATTTCCAGAAGAACAGCTCCATCCCTTACGATCTGGAAGAACTTTACATTCCTCCCCTTCAAGACATGGTTGCATGTGGCACCACCATTTCTGCTCCACTATTGAAGCTACAAAAGAGGAAAACAAACACATCTGCAGGTTGTTGAAATGGACACTTTAATATGTCACTATGTTGCAGCATTTCTTTACTTTTCCAATAAAATTTTAGAAATATATTGACTGACAGATAGTCTGTGATTTTCAGCAAGCTCAGAACCTTCATAAGAAATCGGGTATCAATTTCCTGTGTTGGTGCTGTGCTTCAAAGTCAATCATTTTACTGTATTTTTTTTTCTAATTTATTGTAGTTCAGGAAATAATTTCACAGGATTTCTTTCCAACTTTAATTTTTTTCTTGCTCAGCCAGATTTTAAGTAGAATCTCTTATTTTGAGTTAGTATATTTGTCTGATCTACTCTATAGTCCAGCATAGCCTGATTAAATTTACGCCCCAATGATGACATATTTACATCTCCTATGACAGCCAACAACATATCAACAGCAAAGAGATCATGTAAACAGTGAATCCACCCTACTTCTCTTTCAGAAAAGGAGATGTGAAAAATCAGCTAGTATTTTCCCCAATAAAACATATGAACCTTATGCCAGATTTGTTAAGTAAAATATTAATATTGCACTGTGAATAGGAAAAATAGCGTTGGTCTAAAAAGACTAAAAACCAGCTAGAACTGTGTTCTGTTTGTTTGTTTGTTTGCCTGTTCCCATATGATAAAAATAAATACAAAAATAAAATGTAAGACTGCAGCACGTGAAAATTATAAGCTCATGTAGATTTTGTATGAACACTTTTAATTAAGTGAATTTCATACAATTCCAAGGGCACTCTGTTAGTTAGATCAAATTTAGCTTCTCAAGAGGTCTCTTTCACTGGTATCTAATAATTTTGCTCAGCACTTCCACAGACTAATAGTAAATAATTCATTTTTCCCATCTTTCTCCCATTCACCTTGGGCATGCCCTTCAAAATGCAGAAGCTTTCTTATTCTTATTTTAAATAGTTAACTGTAATGGAGTGGTTCTCACTGATGGCATTAAGCCATCAAAACCCCCTAGGAACATGCAATGAAAGGAAGCAATGGAAGTAGTCGCACCATCAACACAAGAAGGAGCTGCCCGGGTGGTACCTGCTACCTGCCCAGGGAAGCAGGAGCACTTCACCGTCTGTGATCTTTCTTCTATCTTGTTCTTATTGCAACATCTGTGGAGTGCCACCACTTCACAGGTCCCAGTTTTAACATGGTGAGCTGTGAAAATAAGAAGATGAGCAATTTGATAACATTGTGAGGTAGCATCATACTGTTTGGGGTTTTTTTAATTAGAGATGCATTCAACTTGGCTCTGTAAGGCAATCTGCCATGCATGAAACTAGAATTACAATGGTACTAACACTAGAATGTAAAGTTGATTTATTTTCCAAATGTAGCACAACTATCTCAGGCAGAAAACACTGGCTAAAGGAGAAGAATTGGAGAAGGCTGCATATGGGACTGTTCCAGTGAAGCAGGAAGCAGAAACATTATAAAAACTATCCTAGAAACTCTATTAATTTCTGGACTCCCATAAACATCTGTGTATCTCTACTAAGATTTTTTTTTTTTTAAGGGAGAAGCACTGAAATGGAAGTGTATCAATGTTAAAATACCCATAGATACATATGTTTTCAGAATCTATGTCTCCAAACTTTATGTCCAGGGCAGATGCAGTTTTGGATATTACATCCCCAAACCTTCCTACAGATGAACAGAGAAGAACTGGCAGGATACAGGGACAGCCCTCAAACAAAACACTGAAATAAAATCTACTGAGGAATCACATTTTAAATCCTTCTGCCTGGCACTGCAAGCCAATTTTTTGGCACTGGGATACAAATTTTTCAAACACGTGAGGCAACAGGACAATCTTCTTTATCCTATATCCAGTATCCATCACCACCAACCAAGCTGCTCTAACTGATCACCAGACTCATGCTACTGGAGTCCTATGAGAGAACCAGTTTGGTAAGTGGGTAGCTACCAAATTACCCTTTCTGGTTCAGCAGCCAGTTACCACAGGATCTGGAGTTCAGAAAAAGTAATTTTAACTGCATTTTCAGTGGTTACTGACACAAGACCAGATATTTCTGGGGAAAGTTCATTTCCATCAGAAGGAAGAGAGAAAGAAATCTAAATTTTTAACTGGTGTTGACCTACAACCTTGTAGAGGGAGGAATAGTAATTCTGCAAAGCAATATGTATTTTAACAGTACCCCTTAGTCCTCTATTCCTGCTAATGTTTAACTCTTTGTACACTTTATGCAAAGCCTATGTACTGAATGCTTCAGCTACCTTTTATATCGCCAATGGCATACAATAAATGAGAGCTTCCATGAGAAGGCCCTACTAAAAGGCTTTCAGAAGCCCAACACTGATCTCTGGATCCACTCAGTTGTTATTGCATGGTATCAGCTCCCAAAAGGTCTGAGTAAGGAAAACAAACTTGATGTAGGCTGTGGACCCCAAGAATGTGCCCAGAGGCAAAAACCACAGGCAGCAATTAGACTCTGGGTCTTCCCCAACAAAACATAAATTACTAAACAATTCATTCAGGCAATTCTGCATTTTTCAGCAGAACAAAGTCCACTGAACAGTCTGTGATCTTTGTTGTCACTCCCTGAATAGTACTTTGTCAGGTGAGATTATACTCCACCACATTGTGCTGTACTACAAATGAAATTATATAACACAATGCCAACAATTAACTCATCATATTGTGATAGACTGAAATGTTACATATAAATCAGAAATCTAGGAGAAAAAAAAAATATTTTTTTGCATAAAAATGCTTTCCTTTGTTTTTTGACTATTTATCATTTTTAATTCAATAGAGGATGAGGAAATCAATTCATACTATCTGCCTGAACTTTGCAGCCTCTGATATTTTCATACCTTTGATGATGAGCAAATATTTCTACAGCTACTAGCAGTCTGCTCTAAAAATTACTTTCAAATATTTTCCAAATAATTTCACTGGTATATATGCCAATAAACAAATTAAATAAATACAATCATTTTCTCAATAAAACAGTTATAAGGGATTTTATTTGTAAATATGGTAAAAAAATTCTTCAGGGGTACATTTTAAATATGTAATATATATTAGAATTAACACATGCTGCTTTTGTAAGTTCACATTAATTTTTATTTTGATAAGCAATTACACATCTTACACACACATGCTAAAACAAAATCACTAACTTGTATTTTAGGAAAGGTACCTAAAAAACCCAGACTCTGAAACTACAAAAGGAAGAAAATTTAGTGGTAGGATGTGAGCTTCGTCCTACTTAATTTTTCACTCCATTAGTTTTCAGTCCTTATTTGTATTGTATGTGTATCACTGATCCTGAAATTTTGTCTCCTTGCTCTCTTTACACTGCTCTACCAGGTCTACAGAAAAGCCAGAATATACCTGCTAAGAGAAAATAAAGTACAATATACAGCAATAGCCATCTGGAATGGAAGCCAGTTAAAAGAACTGTTGCAAAATTCTATGAGGGAAATGTTCCTATTGAAATAAAACTTCTGAAAGACTTGTTCTGTAGTAATTAGTGAGAGAAAATCAGGCACTTTAAGGCTCTTATGGAAAAAGAATGTAGTTAAATGAAACAGTACACCATGTACAATACAGAAGAGCAATTCAAAGGTTAAAATGTATGTGAAAAATGGGAGAGAACAAAAAAAAAAAAATCACATACTATTGCAAGTATTTGAAGAATATTTAGTAAAGATGCTTTGAAATTTTCTAGGTATAAAACCAAAACAACCTAGAAAAGTATACAAAGATATTTCAAACACTGAAAATCTAGGCCAACCATCCTCTAGTTTCTATTTACCATCGAGAGTACGCAATGAATATTGCTTAAGAGGAAATGTAGGGATTTCAGCTCCTTATGCTATCAAATAATTAAGTTCCAGTGCAGTAAGTACAGTATCTGTCACATTCATGTGAAATGAAAGCCTCTATACAGTAGATAAAAGATTTCCCATAACCTAATACAAATTAACCTCATTAATCCACTGAACCATTCTACGAAAGGAGGATAGTACTTTAGGAGATTCACATTTTGGTTTTGTTTCTTTTTCTCCTAGCACAGACTTCAAAGTATGCTGCGTGCTTTGCAGAAAATGTTCGAGGAACTGAATGTCATTTCTGGAATCCTACAGAAATTCATTATTCAAAACCACTGCAAACACTCAGCCTTGCATTCTCTGCTAATGTAAGTGATCCTTCCTGAAATCAGTGTGAAGAAGGACTGATGAAAGAGACTCAGAGATAGCTATGTGTACAGACTGTGAAGTTTTCCTAATGATTATGCACAACATAATATACGTATGTTATATATATGTATATACATATATATATTATGTTCCAGAAGATGTAATACTGTAATATGAGAGCGTAAATTGGAAAACACCTAACCATATTTCACCCATTAACAGTATATCCTGTAATTAACCTGCTGCTTTTATAGCATTTTTCAGGTAGTGAAATCATCAATAGCTATCATCTCATAAATCAGTATGATATTAGTACACAAAAGACTTAAGTGTTCATAATCATGCTCCTGGAAAAAAATAAAACTAATTATTATTCCTTATTTTACATAAAAATTAAGGCACTTAAAGAGCATGCTTAAACATACACAGCAAAGACCTTTAAAGATATAACTACATTCTACCTGTTCTTGTTTCTTTGTGGAAATTTATTTTCTTTCCTTCAGGTAAATGAAATTTCAGTCATATTTGCAGAGTGCATCTGGCACTAAGTTATGGCCCTTACTCCTCTACTTCTGTGGGAAGATTGTTCCAGGTGAGAAGGCAATTTTCGTTATGATCACCATTTCCTAGCCTTGCCACTTAAATATTCACATTCAATTCTGACACCCATCTGCTTGGCCATTTGAATCTTTCCTTTCCTGAATGTTGCACAGGTCATGCATTAACGCATACACTGGCTATTAACAAAGAGGAGGAAATCATGTTACCATTGACTAGATAAAAGTCACAAACTGTTTGTCCTCAGACTCCCCATCATTGCAGTAGCCACAAAGAAGCAGTTAAAAAAAAAATCAAAAAGACTCTATTATATGGTCTCTGAAAAGACACTGGCACAATTGGGTGATGCAGCTAAACCCATCAAATGACTAACAGCTACTGGAAGAAAAAGAAGATCCCTTGTCCCTTCTCCCACACTCTTTCATCCCTTGCTTGTATGAACACTGTCATTTGATGGTGATGATGGTAAACCAGGGATCTAGACTGGCAGAAAAATATCCCCTTTTTTTGTAGTGTTAGTTCTCTACCAGTTTAGTTCCTACAACTGGTTGCAGAGACTAGTGAGAAGCAATTTCAACCATAAGGAAGCAGCACGAACAGGCAGCCACAGATACACAATTACCTCCTTCTGCAGAAACCAGTGCCTGTATTACCTTACCAGCACTGTAGCTCTACACTCTTCCATGAAATAAATGTATCTTATTTTATTCCACTTCATGTAATTCCTCTGAGGTCAGAGAAACTATGTAAAGTGTGCAAAGCTTTTTTGCTTGTGTCTGTGTGGTTTTTAAAGCTTTTCATAAAAACAAAGCTTTAATTGAAACAAGAAATAACAGATCAGCAATAAGGAGAGGAACAAAAATTACTCTTAGCCATGAGTTTCAAGCCATATTATATCTAGTACTATACAATCTTTGGCCTTTTTATCCTCTTGGGTATAATCAGGAAGATATCCCATATGAAATACTATAGTGACCCAGTCTTTCAAAGTAGGCACATAAGTAGTCTTTATTCATGTAAACCACATCCACATGAATAATTGAATTAAGGACTATAATGGAACTACTTTTTTTAATAACCATCTTCAAGGAAAAACAAACAGTATTTCAGCAGATTATCAACCTCCTTCATCTGTTTCCCTGAGTGATTAGTCATTATTCTATACCACAATATTCAAACAAGTGTGTGAGGGGAGGTTACTGATATCAGAAAAAATAAATAAAATTAGTAGTTAAAAAGTAGAATTTTCCAGATTAGGCTCTAAATGACTATCCAGTGACCAGGAAAAAAGTGGGTTTCCTTGTTCTCACAGTCTATTTGCTTTGTTCATACCAATTGACACAGAAAACAAATGTAGGTTATCTTTCTGCTACACTTCAGCAATTTCAATATGTCATATCAGTCTCAGTGTGTCACTGTAGATAGGAAGG